ACAACAATGTGTTATCCATTAAGATCAATGGAAATACTTCAACAAGTATTGTTAGTGTACGTTTCAATGTCAAAGTGCGCCATAAAACACATTAACTTGCATCGATAACCATTGAGATGCATCAGCATGTATTTAAATGATGTGTCAACAAGTATTGGAATGGGCCTCCACTGATTTCATCTAAAAGTGCATCAAATAGAAATGCAAAAATGTGAATTCAGCCTCAGTTCCTATTGACTCCCCAACATCATCCACTGTCACATTTGGAAAAAGCCAATTCAAGATGAAAGGGCTGAAACACACCACAATGCATAAACAAATAGGGCAGGCTGAATTTCCCAATAGCCTAATGCACAGGACACACTGTATTGTACTGTGCTGCAATGCGTTGCATCACTCATGACTTTTTAAGGTTCATTGGGATTCCATTCACAACATATGACCAAAGGTTTGTTTTAAGGTTGACTTATGTAACATGTAACTTATGTAACATGTAACATGAATTACTGCAACTCCCCTCCCTTAAACAATGATCCTCTGCAAAACGTCTGATTTTATGCATCAGGAAGAATATGAGTTGGAACCTGTCAAACCATTCAACAACCATCTAAGGCTGCAGGTACACTAGTCTACCCTGACTGCAACCACGGGAAAATGCAAAATGCCGTAAAACCACATGTACAGTAAATGCGGTACCATGTTTTTGCCGTGTTTTGCATTTTCCCCAGCCAAAGATGTTCAGATGCAACTTTATTTTAATAAAAGTCAGGGGGACAATCCAAAAAGTAGCCAAAGCATTTTAGGGGTCCAAAGATGCCCTCTTGACCAGGGCTTAAAACCAATGTGAATCAACTAGAAGTGATACCAGCTTGCCAAACAAGCTACTGACAAGGCCTGGGCATGTAATTACTCTGGAAGAAGTAACATTAAAGGTCCAGATCACTCCTACTATATTAATTTTTGTTTTCAAACCCTGATGAAGGAGGTGTTTTTAGACTCCCAAATTGCATTGGCTACTTGGGGTTTAGAAGCCGCCTACCCAGGAACCAGATTTTTTACATCAATATCAATACTTTAAGATAGCAATACCAATAAGAAAAGCGTATAGTTCCAGTGCTGTTTTTCTCTTTCCATACCTACTACAAAGACAGATACAGGAGTCTCATCCATCTGTTGCTTTCTCTAAGGTTTAATACAAGGAGGGTCAAGAACTGGGATGGAGGTTTCCCATATTAGCCCCAGCAGTTGGTTAAAGCTTGGAACTCAGGTGAAAAGCTATCACAGGCAGAATCTATAACCTATTTAAGGAGCTGTTAAAGTGTTACTAAACATAGGACCTCATTCATTATTACTGGTCTCCCACAGTACACATTTAGTGCTATGCCCGAAGGAGCAGCTTGTATGTTTTCCACGGGCTCCCCTTGCTTCGCCAGGCACAGTGTATTTCTTCAGCCAAATACACTCACACACACATTCGCTTGTTGTCTTCAATGACCAGTCTAAGGGTTGCTTTGCTTTTGGAGTTTATTATGGAACTGGGGATAGGGATGGGGAATTGTAGTAGGATACTCCAGAATCAGAACTATTCTCACTGAGGACATCTAGCTTAATTTGGCACTTATGAAGTCTTGGTTGACAGTAGATAGCAGACTTCCCTTTACTTTGTAGCAACAAGTAGTTTAGGAGTGAGCAAAGTCCCTTTTCACAGTAGTAGTAGTTACAGGGCTGAGCTCCTCAGGTATAAGCCAGTTACAGCAGACTGTGACTGTCCAAAGGTAATGTAGCTGAGAAAAGTCCTTTGCAGTAATAACACTTGGACAAGCTCTTCAGAATACTAGCCAGTGTTCCCTTGTTCCAGACTATCAAGCACCAGGGGAGATAGCAAGCACACGGTGTCCCCAAATTCCTCAATATCAGTACTCACAGGGGCCAAAGACAGAATGGTTGCCAATCTTCCATTCTTCTAAGTGAAACCCCCCAGTGATACCAGACAGAGCTTTGGCATACAACACCCCTCAGTCAGCCTACTGAACAACCAGGGTCACTCTTTGTAGGCCCTCAGGTCAACCCACCTGAGGTCGCATGGCAGCAATTACCAGGAGAGGCAGCCTGCCTCCAGCATGGCTTGGTGCAATCCACTCCTGGGAAAGACATTGAACTCATGTGCTCTCAGAAGATAAATACCACTCCCAGCATGCAATGGAACTGCCTTCCCCTGCAATTGGCCAGGGCTGTATCCATATTCATGCAGTTCATTTTCCTAGCCCCTACCCATGTTCTGAAAGGCTCTCATAGCTTCCTGAAGGCGGGCAGAACTCTAACAAACTCCAACAGCACCAGAGCAGCACGAGCAGACCTAACTCATCAATCACAGCACTCTGCTAAGCAGGATACCACACCGAATGTATCCAACAACCTCTCTGGTGAGCAGAGAGGTTGTCAGGTAAATTCACAGCTATGTCTAACCTAACAATTCAGGTAAATTCACAGCTATGTCTAACAAACACAGCTATGTCTAACCTAACTATACACATGCTAGCACCTGACTAGGATTGGGCTACACAGAACATGGAAATGCACTTATATTAGTACATTTCAACCGCTAAATACCTTTGCTCATCAGCAGTTAGCGCAGTCTTGTGACTTCAATCAGTGTCTAGCTGAGCACTGGTTAATCTTGTGGGAAGAGTTTTCATTCTCCTCTGACTGTCCTATGAGGCTGCATGACCCCTGACCCTCTGTCTGGATAGTGCTGATTGGCCCTGTGCCAATCACATGCACCCTCTCTAGCAATACACACCAAACTGAGCATGTGCAGCATGCATCCTAAGGCTCTGTACTATCAAGAGATGGATTGGGAACAGTGGAAGAAGAGGAGGATCAGAGAAGTCAGGATCAATCAGCCTTTTTACACGATGCAGGGGATTAACCCCTTAGAATCCACAGTGAGCATAACAAGCATGCTTTACTGCATATACAGACTGATTTTACTGTTGTGGGTTTACACTTTTAGTGAATCAGTCCTTCAACATACACCCAAACCTGATGCAGCAATTTAAGTGGGCTTGTCATTTGGGCTGATGTCACAGACAATTCCATAGCACTGACTCGCAGCTAGAAAATGCTAATGCCAGCTATTAATGACAATGTGTAACTAGTGACCTAACTGTAGTCACTACCAGTTTGTCGTTAAGAAGTGATATGCTACATCATTACATTATTTGTTGCTGTTGCAAATTGTGCTCCTTCAGGAATTTCTAGCTAAGCCATAAAAATGATCAGAGAGCAACTGTCATTGCCGAGCTTGTGGCCAAAATTTAACACTGTTAAACTCAATTGCTGAGCAACTGAGTTGCAAAAATCACTTTAAAATTAGTGAATTATCAATTCCATAGAAGATAACCATACTTTGCTACAAAATCGACTATGGTTGATGTCACACTGATGACTTTACTCCTAGCAACACAGCGCCATTATCAAAGTCATATGGGATAGCCTTCCACTTTCCTTTGTGGAAACCCACCTTCAAGGCGAGAACACTGCAGAATTTCCATCGCTAGTGAGAAGACACCAAGAGAGAACTTTCGTAAAGAGATCTCTTAACAAACCTGCCACCAGCAAGTTGATGCAAGTGTCAAGATTGTCCTTGTGACATGGCCCATACTGTGCACAGCTATCTTAAACAGTGACATATAAGCAACAATGTCATGTGAGGGCTAGGTCACCTTCAGCAATCAGTGTGTAAGTATGAAATCTGTTTCCAAGTAACAGTAATGGAGTTGTCATAGGTTCCTTTCAGGATATGTACCTCTCAGCAGGTCCTCCTATTATGGCAGAGCTCTGAAATGAGATAATGGCAGATTCCAAATTACTAATAATTCCACTCCACTTTCTCCTGTGAGCCTATGAAAAAGTGTTGACTCCACTGGGTTTAATGGTGCCTTCCGACATAGCTTATTTCCCATGACATTTTCCAATTTGATTCCATAATGTAATAAAAATTCAATATCCTTGAGCTGTGCAGGAAATAAACAGTTTTTTTTTAAGGGACATGTTTAGGATATGAATGAGGGGACAGAAGTTTTCAGCAGTTTATTGGCCATATGTGGACAGTGTAATTGACCTATATTATGCCGTAGACAAAATTGATCGAGCAGTAGCAAACCTGGAAATCACAAGGTTCCATGTCAAAGTTTTAATAAGGCCGTTCTAGTTGTACCTGCACTATGATGCTTCCTGTTTCACACTCCTTAAGTACTATACACAGGGGCATTGTTAGGAATGTATTCGATCTGGAGAACCCTTATGTGCACTGAAGAAAAATTGTGTGGTCTGCTTGACTTTAAGGAGCATGGTTAAAAAGCTTGGCCACAGGTTAAATAATTTGGCCAACTCCAGGCTCACCCACTACACTACGTGCATGTTTTTATGTTCTCTCTGGGTTCTTCAGTTTCCTTCCAGATAGTGGTAGGTTAATTGGCTCCTATCTAAGTTGGCCTTGGTGGTTATGCATGTGAGATAGTGACCTTAGATTGTAAGCTCTTTAAAGCGTATTTCAAGCTTTACTGTCAACTTTAATTTGTTTGCACCAAGCTGGCCCAAACTATTTCCTACACTTAGAGGTGTGTTCACTGGGCGTGCTATATAAACTTTAGGTAGCCTCAGCGACATTGAGTGTACAGTCTTGTTTTCCGGCAGTGAGACAAGACCTTCTCACCTCACACCCGACACAAAATAGAGTTGAGCTGAATGGCGCTCAGGCATTAATAGGCCGTTTGTTTTCTATGAATGAATTTGAAGGTTCCTCTGTTTGAATGAGTCAGAGATTGTGACGTCTTCCGCCCCAACCCCCCTCCACCTTAGCCAATTAAAGGAAGCTTTATATTCATTCATAGAGTACAAAGCTGCCTAGGAATGGCTGAGCACCGCTCAGCCTGTTTCTATTTGGTTCCGAATATGAGGCGAGGAGGTTTTGTTTCACATCCAGACCACAAGGCTGTATGCTGTATGAAGTTGGGCTCAGGGGCGGACTGACCATTTGGAAACTCGGGCACTGCCCGAGGGCCCGGGGTCAGTAGGGGGCCCCATGAGATGCCCCTGGTACCTTTTTCATAGGCTTTTTTTGACTTTGGGCAAGGACACAGGGGCCCCATGATCCCCTATTGCCCAGGGGCCCCATGAGTTGTCAGTCCACCCCTGGTTGGGCTACATTCAGTTTATACAGTACGCCCAGTGGGCCCACCTGTTACTGTAAAAAATAGTTCATCTGGGCTAGCTTGATCAAAATAAACTAGTTAAAATGACAGTCAACCTGGAGGAAATCAGCTTTAAGAGCAGTTACTGATGTGAAACTACAATATATATGTAAAGTGCTGTGAAAATTGTTAATACTTAATGTTAATAAATATCTCTAATCTATATCCACTGGGTTGAGCTGTCATCATTCAACTGTAAGCCTGAGGACATCTCATCAACATTGTTTATGCATTGTGGTATGGTGTGGAGTGGATTCACTATTGTAAGAGAAAAATTCAGTAGTATGTGGAATTTTTAAGGTGCTCCTTTTTCAACATCAGGAATAAATATGTAAACTATTAAAAAAAATTATGAAATAACACATCTTGGTAAAAAAAACAATTTAAAAAAAGTCTAAATGATAATTATACATTTAACACATTGTGCATCTTACCCATAACTTTTTTGTATACAAATATTTAATAAATGAATGATGCAAAAGATGAAAGGCAAAAAAAGAGTCAATACAATGGGTGAAGGATGCTGTACCCCAATGCGTTTCACAGACTACGCTTCTTCAGGAGATATGAAGGTGCTGCTGGTGGGAAAAAATATATATGCCATGTACTTCACAAGTATTATAAGTAAATGTATACCTACATCACAAATAGTGTACATTTCATAATACAGAGCATAAAATAGATGGCGCTATGACCCTGTAAAAGGGGAAAAGAAAAACAGGCAAAGAAATGGAGAGAAAGGACAAGGGGAGGGAAGTCAGGCAAGCGTATCAACCCCATAACCTCAATGTTTCACAGGGAGGTACAAAAGGGACGGTATACTTACCCACCGACCCTGCTTCAAGGTACATAGAGAAACAGGCATAGGTTGTCTACACAACTTCAAACACAGCAGAGCTACCATGGGAGAGGGGAAGCAGAGAGCGAAAGAGAAAGAATGACCCATATATTTAGCAATCCTACCTGGGTTACATCTAATCCATCAGCAAGAAAGCTTCATAATAGTTTATAGACAGCAGCTATACAGTGTATGTTGATGCCCTCTAAAGACAAAGAACTACAAAGAAATCACTAGAGGTCTCTACTTGGTCAGCCCCCATATACACCACTAGCATGCTAGTAAAGTATCATCCCTACCTGTTAGTGAAGACCCACATATAGTAGCATGAAACATGACCCCAGTAATGGCCAACTACAACCATAGCAAACAACCTGGGTGGCTTAAATAGGGTGTATGGATGGTACCCTCTCAATTCACTATTGTAATGAATACCGACATAATGAAAGAAACATGATATCTGATTACCAAACGTCTGCAGATGCAAGGGATCAGTTCCTGTTAAAAAATTCCCCTTGGCCTTCTCAAATCCCAGAAGCTGCAGCACCATGGTTAGTGGTTGTTTGTTACTTTTAAAATGCTAATTTTGTAAAGCAAACAGACATTTTTTTAAAGATTCAGAATGCTTTGTGAAAATGTTATCATTGCCCCCTTTCCAAATTCCCTTACCGAGCTTTCAAATGTCATCCTCCTCTAAATTTTCCTTTTTTTTAAGTAAATTGATCTGGGTTTAAATTGTTATGGATTCCATGAAAATTGCCTTTTTTGTGCTGCTTACCATTTACAATTCAAGTCTAAAGTCTGTTATTATCTCTGATCATGGGTAACACAGTAACAAGAATGTAAAGTGTGGAACACTAGAAGCCAGACACCAGCTGAGAGAATGACATCCAAAATCACAGCTATCAGCATCTGGCTGCGAATATGTGATAAGTATATAAACCACCCACATTGGGAACAAGAAGAATACAAGTAGATCAACTACAGCTAAATATTCTTCTAACTTCCCTATACAACATCCAGATTCTGAATAGAAAGCCAGATGGGAGAGAGAAAGTAATCCATAATCTAACTGTATATAAAAATCACAAAACAGTACATTGTAATCTATGAAGACAGAGTAGCTGTATTACAGTAAATCTGGAGTGGCCAGAATCAATAGCCGTGGGCAACAATATAATTAAACTGACATGTTGTATGTGAAAAGGTCACCAAAGAACAGCAACATCAATAAAATCACGATTCACACAATGAAAGTGCAGTCATGCAGTGCAGCTTCAATAAACCTAATACACACAGATACTGGCAGAAATCAAAATTTAATATCGTTTTATTAATATTTATTCTAATTTTAGTCTTTTGAAAGTTCAGTAAATATGTCTAGTGTTGTTAAGGGAGCAGCTTATTCTACAGTCATATGACCTTAGTTAAAGGTCGATCCCATTTAACACAAGTAAAGTCAGCCATAAATGGATCTAATATTGGCGGGTTCAGCAGGAACCAGCAGAATTTGGATCCATATGGGCTAGCTGGTGGCACATAAGTTGATTTATTGATCAGCTTGTGTACAACCAGCCTGTTGGATTATTCACAAACGATCAGTGCCGCCGGCTTTACTGATCATTGTGTTCTGCTAGCGGGGAGCCAGAATGGGAGGACCCACACAGGGGAATTGGCTCTTTTTTGTTCAACAAAATAAATGAATCATGTATGGCTGGCTTTATTTCCACTATGTGTAGGCTTCTTACATCTCTAAAGATTCTCGTGGCATGATATCACTTAAAGCCGAAATCCAGGCATGACACCAAGCAGCTCTGCATTCATTAATAAAGAAATAAATACATTATTTTTCACATGCAAGCAGGGATGTCATTAGAAATCATGGACCCCATACAGTATAAAAAACACAAAAAAATGGCAATTGTCCCAAGCTATAACCAGTCTTAGCAATAAGGTGTATATGGAAGGGCAGTGCACATAACAAACAAATGATTTCCCAGCAACACTTACCAGCCAGCCTTCAAAACAACCAACCTGGCCCTGTCTAACAGTTTGCATTAAAAACAGAGGGTTTTGTTTGCACTCATTTGCAAATACATGTGTAAGCCACAGTCCCACATCAAGGGTGTGGACATTTTAGAGTTAGGTCCACAGTATACAGAGGACCCTTGAAATGGGACTGTGGCTAACTCTAAAATTTCCAGAGCCTCCATTCCATAGTAGGAGCACATATATCAATGGATAGGTAACCTATTTGACATAAATTTGAAATGCTACAATTTTGGCCATCATTTCAATATATTTGAAAATATATTTCAGTAAATACTACAGTCATGGCCGAAATTGTTTGGCACCCTTGATATTTCTCCATGGAAATCATGTATTTCTCACGAAACGTATTGCAATTAACACATGTTTTGCCACATGTTTTATTCCCTTTGTGTGTATTGGGACAAAACAAAAAAAGGGAGGAAAAAAGCAAATTCGACATAATGTCACACAAACCTCCAAAAATGGGCTGGACAAAAGTTTGGCACCCGTTTTCACAACTAGCGGATAAATAGAATGTTACAAGCATAGATGCTCCTGTTAAACTCACCTGGGGCAAGTAACAGTGTGGGCATAAGAAATCACACCTGAAAGCAGATAAAAAGGAGAGACTTCACTTAAAACCTTTGCATTGTGTGTCTGTCTTGTGCCACACTAAGCATGGACAACAGAAAGAGGAAGACGAGAACTGTCTGAGGACCTGAGAACCAAAATTGTGGCAAAATATCAACAATCTCAAGGTTACAAGTCCATCTCCAGAGAACTAGATTTGCCTTTGTCCACAGTGCGCAACATTATCAAGAAGTTTTGCAACCCATGGCACTGTAGCTAATCTCCCTGGTTTGGGACGATGAGGAAAAATTGATGAAAAGATTGCAACGCAGAATAGTCCGGATGGTGGATTAAGCAGCCCAAACATGTTCCAAAACATTCAAGCTGTCCCTGCAGGCTCAGGGAGCATCATGTCAGCGCGAACTATCCGTCGACATTAAATGAAATGAAACGCTATGGCAGGAGACCCAGAGTGAGGACCCCACTGCTGACACAGAGACCATAAAAAAAGCAAGACTACAGTTTGCCAAAATTTACTTGAGTAAGCCAAAAGCCTTCTGGGAAAACGTCTTGTGGACAGATAGAGACCAAGATAGAGAGCTTTTCGGGTAAAGCACATCATTCTACTGTTATACCGAAAACGGAATGAGGCCTACAAAGAACAAAACACAGTACCAACGGTAAAATATGGTGTAGGTTCAATTATGTTTTGGGGTTGTTTTGCTGCCTCTGGCACTGGTGCCTTGACTGTGTGCAAGGCATCATGAAATCTGAGGATTACCAAAGGATTTTGGGTCGCACTGTAGGCCCATGTCAGAAAGCTGGGTTTGCGTCCAAAAAAAATTTCCCTGGGGTCTTCCAGCAGGGACAATGACCCCAAAAAATAACGTCAAAAAGCACTCAGAAATGGATGGCAAAGACAGCGCTGGAGAGTTCTGAATTGGCCAGCAATGAGCCCCAGATCTAAATCCCATTGAACACCTGTGGAGAGATCTTAAAATTGCTGTTGGGAAATAGGTGTCCTTCCAATAAGAGAGACCTGGAGCTGTTTTGCAAAGGAAGAGTGGTCCAAAATATAATTCCGGGTGAGGTGAGAGGTGTCAGAAGCTTATTGATGGTTATAGGAAGCGACTGATTTCAGTTATGTTTCCAAAGGGTGTGCAACCAAATATTAAGTTAAGGGTGCCAATACTTTTGTCCAGCCCATTTTTGGGGTTTTTGTGTGACATTATGTCATATTATGCTTTTCTGCCTCTGTTTTATATTTGTTCCAATACATACAAAGGGAATAAACCGCCATGTGTATAGCAAAACAAGTGTTTTAATGCAATACCTTTTTTTATGTGAAATACTTGATTTCTCAGGAAAAATATCAAGGGTGCCAACAATTTCGGCCATGACTGTATATATATATAAAGTATAGTATATATATATTTATATATATATATATAATAATATACTGTATGTTGAAATGCGTTTTTATTACAAAATATATGAAAAATATGTGTTTAAAATGACATAATGTCATTATATTTAAATAAATCGGAAAAATAT